AGCAAAAGGACGATAAGACTTAAAAGTAGGAAGAAAACAAATTACATTCAAATATCAAGTGGGAAATTCATGTTATAATTCAATCTTAAGTCAGAAATAGAAATGAAGTATTACAGTTATATGTTATATATTAAAGCTTCAGCTTCAGAGTGGTTTCGTTTTCCGCTTTGATTGAAATTCGTTCGAGTGGTATATGAACACACACATACATACATATGTAAAAGTATACAAGAATAATTTACATGTATGTGTGTACGTACAGGAACCATTGGATTGCGTTCAATTGAACACTTGACAATGTATGTGTTAGAGAGAGCTGGGGTACCATAGGGGGTTGGTAGAGAGTTAGGGATAGGGAAGATGGGGTAAAAAGAAACGGCGTCATTTATGCACTATCAGCAGCTGCCTGTACACTCACACACATACACATACACTAGGGAATGGCCGTTTGTATTCGTCATGAACGGTTTGAGCGTTATTCCTTCTTCTGCCCCCACTATACGCACAGCAGCTCCTTTGCCTGCGCACTAATGCATATGTATTCACACACTCTCACACGCACACGCATATATATATATATATATATAGGCGATTTGATTACCCGCAACAGCAACAAAAATCTTTAAGGCAAACAACAACTACAAGAACTAAGCAAAAGGCAACACAATAAAAATTAACAGCAACAAAAGTGCTAAAACAGGCTATGCAGCCAGAGCATGAAATATAAGAGAGAAGGGTAGCGTGTGCAGGGTGCAGGCGAGGCAAACAAACGCAGGCAAGTTTGAAGTCGGGGCCAACATGTTGAGAATATGTTGAACACGTGGTCGGGTCGCTCGGGCCACCGAACGTGGTTTACAGGGGGGGGCGAACAAAAAAACGGCTACGGCTGCGGGTCTTTAGGTTCGGTTTTGAGTCGTTCGTGAGCGGCAAACAAAATCAACGGCAAATCGTCTGGAGCCCAGTTACAATGGGAGTGCGAGTGTGTGGGGGGAGGCAACAGCAGGGGTTGCTTGTTTAGAACGCAACAATAGCCAACAATATACGCACTCTAAAAACAAACAGATCTTTCTCACTCTCTCTCGCTCATTCGATCGCTGCCATTCGTCCTGTAAAACCAGTTGAAAGAGCAGACGACGACGATGGCCCGCACGAAAGCAAAACATTCAACGACAACTACAACTAAAGCAGCGCAACAAAAACAACAACAACGGCAACAGGCAAGTAATCAAAAAGCGACAGTGAATGTGAATGGAAATCTACTAAACAAACGGCGACCGCAGAGACGCTGTCGCCATCGCCATCGCTGTCGCTGTAGCCGTTGACGTTAACATCGCTGTCGACGTCTGCGCCAAGAGACGGCAACTTCATTATATAATAGATTCGGTTCGAATTCGATTGCGATTGGATTTTTTTGATGTTGTTGTTTTCTTTGTTTTTTTCCTTTTCTTTTCTTTCTTTCTTGTTTTCGGATTGGCAAGCGAGTCGAATGACGAGCACAAGGAAAAGGAAAATACAAAACAGAAACAAAAATGATGTTGCAAGCAAAAAAGTTAATAATAAATAAAAATATATTGCCTGCGTTTTGGGGTCTGACAATCCCCCCAACTCCCCTTTGCGACACATTGTGTGAGGCCCGCATTGAAATTGAAAACATTTTCCACATCAAAAAAAAAAAAAACCTTAATAAAAATCATAATAAATACTCGCATATTGTAATAATAATTCATAATTGCAGCGGAAAAAACCCTAAAAATAATGAAAAAAAAAAAAATTGAATAAAACAGCGTCATATAAACCGGGTCAAATTTTTGTACACGGGGCTAAGCTGTATATATATATATATATATTTAAAGTAACTGTATATGTAACTTTTTTGCTGACTTATTGATTGACTCGATGATTTATTGACTGATTGATAGATACATAAATCATAAGCCATATATATATATAATATATATAATATATATATATATATATATATATATATATATATATATATATATATATATATACTGCTTCGGCAATCAAATTAAATATTATTTTCATATAATCCATACAGCGGAATGGTTTAAAAACAATTTGTTCAAATCCAACTGAATCAATTTACAAATTGTATATATACTATGTATTATATATATAAACAATCCATGTTTATTTGAAAATTCGACTTAATATTTAGTTTAATTTCATTGAAGTGTATATTTTGAGGTTAAGTCAGTTTTATTTGAGGTTATGTCGAAGGCATAAGAAACTAAAGCAAGGTTTAGTAAAGCTTTATAAGTTTTATATTTACATACAAATTGATTTTTTGTATTCTTTTTTATACACTTATTTTTTTAATGCAATAGCATTCGACTCTAGATTAATTTAAATGTATTGCAAAAGTAATCAATCCGTAGTTAACCTCAACCTCTGCATTTCAACAGAGCGATTACTTGGACAAGCAAGAGAGAATGAGAGAGAGCGAAAGAGCAAGGCGCAACATAAGCGTATGCATGCATAATACGGTAAACGGTTTGTTTTGTATGTAAAGTACTCGTACTTTAGCGCTTGACCCCCACAAAGTATTTGCAAGTTAATGGCATTTAAGCTAAAGATTCGATCAATTTTCGTAGCCTCTCTCATGCTCTCTTTGTCTGCCTGTCCCTGAAGGCGCCCAACGAGCCGCGGCGACCCCACCGCAAGAAATAACAGCGACACGCACACAAACGTATGCGTATATACATGCATGTTCGTATGTATGTAAGCACATACATACATATGTACGTATGTACTTTGGCACTCAATTGAGCGGCCATTAGCAACGCAACAACTACAACATGATCATGAAGCGCATATGAAGACAATTTTTAAGATTACAACAATAACAATAACAACAACATCGGCAACAGGCAATGACAATAGAATATGAAGTGGATGGCAGGCCAGCAGGCAGGAGAGCAGGCAAGCAGGCGCTTGCTTGGCTCCTCGCTCAATAAGCGCGGCAAGAGAGCGTGCGAGCGAGAAGGCAAGTGGAGCTCACACATAGCTGTTTCAGTTGCTGCTGCTGCTACTGTTGTTGTTGCTGCTGCTGGTGTGGGAGATAGCGAACGATGAGGGACGACATCGCACGAGTGCACACACTCAGCAACTGGCAGACGGACAGACAGACAAAAGCAGAGACGTTCACACACATATATACACACTCGTGCAAACTCATACATATTTATTTATTTATTTCGCTCAGCTCGTTTGCTCGTTCGTTTATTATTTTTTTTTTTCATTTTACAACTCGAACAACGATAATAATAATAAGCAGCAAACGTCAGTAGCTGGCACGCAAATAATTTATTTATAATTTGTACTTCTGTTAACTTGCATTCAAACACAAAACAGCGAAATACAACTAAAAAAACGGACATACAAGCGCACACATACATATGTATGCATATTCACTCAAAGCTTGCACATTCGGCAACTTGCATATGGCGGCAACTTTGGCAACATGTTGCTGTGCTTATGATCTGTTGTGTGTGTGCGGGTGAGCCCAACTCCAGCACACACATATATATATATATATATATATATATATATATATATATATATATATATATATATATATATATATATATATATATATATATATATATATATATAAAGTTGAACCGCGGCCTGGACCTGCATATTAATCGAACCGTATTCAATCGCAGCGCATGAAATAAATTGACGTTCCAGGCTGGAATTGCCCTTCGCTTCCTCTTATTCTGCTGCTGGTGCTTAGGTAGGTAGTCGCCACTCTACCAGCAATGGCGACGATGCCGGGACATACACACAAACACACTCACACACATATATTTTTAGTTTATGTCTGCATGTACTTACAAACATACATATATCTGTGTGCTGTGTGCATGTACGTATGCCGGCAGTGCAGCGGCCACGACGGCGTTTGTTATCGCCTTGGCAGGAAATGGAATTATATTCGTAAAAAGTGGTCTCTGCATGGACTGACTAGCTGACTGTCCCGTCCCGTTTCATTGCATTTAGTTTCGTCCCTGCTTGCCCCTTGGCCTTGCACAGTCGCTGTCGATGCCTGTGCATGTGTGTGTGTGTGCATGTAGAAATGAAACGTAATATGATTACGAAGCGCTGAGGAGTTTGATATAACAAACTAAGCATTTTTGCTTTTGGGCGCAAGCAGCAGCAACAACAAGTTAACCAGCCAAGCAAGCAATCAGCAAAAACAACAACCACAGAGAGCTGTGCATATAAATTTCATAATAAAAGTAACGAAACAACAACAGCAACAACGAGACAACGACGACGAAATCAAAAGTTATGCGAAAAAGTGAATTTCAGTTGAGCGGCAGCTTCATCCACCTGACAAAAAGTGAACGCGTTATGTGCGCACACAAACATAACGAACATGCAAATGGAAAAGCAAGTAAAAATTGTAGGGATGAGAGTGTTTGACTTGTAGATGCCCTTCAACATTAAACTGAATTCAACATTTGAAACACATTTAATGTCAACCACCACTACAGCTTCTTTTTTCGAAAGAAAACAAAATGCATACATTCGTATATCAATTTGTCCACTGTGTGCGTTAAGCAACTTTATAATATACCTTTTCAGAGCATTTTTGAGAGTCGTAACGTTTGAAAGCCGCTGTAAACGTGTTTGTCATTGCTCAAGCGAGTTTCGTTGATATCTTTACGGACAAACTTGTCGCCTGGACAAACACACAGAAGCAGCGATCGAAAGAAAAACAAAAGCACTAGCGGCCGCAGCAGCGGCGATCGCTTGTTGCAGCAGTTTCAATTTCAGTTATGTGTGCGTGTGTATGTGTATTCGAGTGTGTTGCGCCCTTTCGCTTTCGGCAGCAATTTGTTGCTATTGCTCTGCCTACTGATGCAGTTAAAAAAAATTGCTGTGTAATACAGGCGATTGCGATTATAAAAACCAAAATAAATTTCCAGTGGAATTGCAATATTTATCGCCGGCAGTCGCTTATAATCGATAACACAACAAAATTTTTGCGTGCTAGCAAAGTTCAGGCAATCTCAATGAAAACACGCAAAAAACAGAAAACAAAACAAGAAACAAAAAAAGCAAAAGCTTTGCAACTTTTATCGGACATCAACCTGTGACAAATGTCTGTGCGGCTCTGTGTATATGTGTGTGCTGTTTATTGTTGCCGCTCGTTGTAAATACATATGTACGTATATATGTACATGCATACATAGTTGGGTTCTACTTGACCCGTCCACTGCACTCGTGTTTTCATTTTACTTATTTATTTGTTTTACTTTTTTGTACGCAGCAAAGCAAAGCTAGCAACTCCCCCCTTCCACTACACCGCCAATTCGCCGCGTTTATGGTATCAACTTTGCACGTAACCGCAATCAAGTTGCGGCGAATAACTTTAAACTTGAAGCTCTTTTTACTTTTTTTCTTTCAGCGCTCAGCCTCTGAGCTTAAAAGCAAAAGGCAAAAAGCAAAATCACTAAACGAAAATCCAAACCCGGAACTTACGGACTTAATCGAATTTGTTGTCGATCAGCGGCCAACAAAATAATAACAGCTGCTTGTACGACTGGCGTTGGCGTCGACGCCGACGTCGCAGCGACTTAAATACATACATTTGATCATGCTGCCTGATGACGACAATGCTTACTGGTATAGTTACAGGACGGGAGGGCTGGAAGACTACCACCTGTTCACTTATTTATTATCCTGAACTAAATGAAAGCCGCTGTCTTATCAAACATTTATTAATTTGAAGTAAAATGTAAAAATGTTCAGCCGAAATAATTATGAATCAGCGGTATAATAAACCAATATATATATGGGGGAAATATGGAAAAGTGAAATATGTAACGGAACGAACATGAATTGCAAATTATTACGCATGTATTGCAGTGTGTGGGAGAGAACAATAACAAACGCTCCAATTGAGCACAAATTAGTTTTGCGTGTAAATCCTGAACATGTTTGTTGTTTTTGTTTTCTTTATAGACTGCATTTCGTGGAGACTTACCCCTTGGAATATGTCATCACATTCGAAATAGTGTGCATTGCCAACGATATTTGCATTGCCAACGATATTTGCAGTTCCAGTTGATTTTTGCACAATTGTCGCAGACATTTTCGTAGCCGTTTACTGTTCTGCTCTCTCTCCCGCTCAACACTTCTCTCTGCTACTTCTGCGCTCGTTCTCCTCTCTTATTTCACTGGACAGCGCAAAAACAAATTCTTTATCTTTGCTTCTACTTCTTCTTATTATTATTATTTGCTGGACGCTTGTTGTTGTTTTTAATTTATAATTCTTATATTTTTTGCTGACTATTATCGGTTGAAAATTATATTGCGTTGAATTTAATATTTCGTTTAGAATTTAATTGGGTTTTGTTGTATTTGCACTAGTTAAATGATTGGTAATGTTATTTTTTATTATTGATTCTGTAGTATTTATGGCTTCTTAAAAATTTTGATATTTGCTAGTTAAATTACAGTTCGTTTTTGTTGTTGTTGGAATTGTTTTTGCGTTGCGCGTGTTGCATTTCAATCAACAGGCTGGAAGAGACGAAAAAGAACAACGCGTTAGAAAGAATTCTACACTCCGAAATTGTATGTGAATATGTTTGCCTGGGACTCGCGGAGCAAGCAGGCAGCAAAAACACAGCTACACACGTGCATCGCATGTGTATGTGAGTGTGGAATTGTGCGTTGATATATATGTGTGTGCGTGTTTGTACAAACGTTGTGTTTAAGCCGCTACTCTCTTTCCATAGCCAAAAAAAAGAAAAAGGATTTTCACGCACATGTGTTAAGCATTTAACGAGAGTAAGAGAGACTTTAAAATTCGTCGCGTTTGCTTTGTCCCTTACGTACATGTGTATATATATACATATATGCATATATATATATATATATATATATATATATACATATATATGTTTCTTATAGTTCCAAAACAGCCGATTGGCTGTTGTTGTTGTTTGCTTTGCTTTTATCGTCTTCGTTTTCGTTCTCGCCGCCGCAGCAGCAGCAGAGATAAGCTTGTTGTCGTCGTCGTTGCCCGATCGTGTTCTTTACACACACACACATACACACACACAAGTGTATTGTGTTTGTATGGGAGTGTGTAGTGGTAGTCGTATTTCAGCTCAAATCACATGTCTGTTGCTTTTGATTGTGTGTGCGCGTGTGTATGTGTGTGTTTTGTGTAATTTTGTAGCTGCGCAAGCAGAACAAACGCACGCAGACTTTGTTATTGCCGTTGATTTAATTTCAATTTTATGCATGTCCTCTTTGCCATACACATGCGCGCGCGCGCGCTCTCTCACACACACTTACACGTATAGATGAAGAACTGCGGGATTTCAGTTAAGCCTTACCGTATTCGAATCGTTCCTTGTGTGCTTGTATTTGTGCGCGCTTATTTGAAACAAATTTTGCGTTTATCGACGAGGTTTAAACAGACGTTCAGAGACATTTAACGCTTTAAAATTCGACCACTTGTGCCAAAGTTAAAAAACACGCGCACTCCTCACACATACACGCTCACACACACACGCACACCAAATCCAATTCAGTATTTGATTGCAGGCAAAACCAACAATAACAAAAACAAAACGGAAAAAAAATATTTTAAAATTATAAAGCAATTTGCAACCAAAATTGCACGTATGCTGTGTGTTTGCTTTGTTTGTTTTTTTTTTTTTTTAAATTAATTTTTTGAAAAATTTTAAAAAAAACTTTCAATATCAGACTCTTAACGCCGCCTACTTCGATTGAATTTTCAAATTATGGAAAAAAAATCAAAATAAATCATATATATTCAAATACAATTTGATATATATATATATATATCTATATGAATTTAGTGATCACAACACAATCTCACACTTTTGGCTTACTTTGCTGCTGATCTCGTTGACGAGTGCACAGAAATTAACTTAAAATACGAGAGTTGCAAATATCCTGACACGCTTTGCACCTTTTGTTTTGTGCAGCAAACAAAAAACACGTCCGCTCTCAATAATGAATGTTACAAATATGAACTGTAATCCCACTGTAGTGGTGATAACCCAACAATGCTAGCATCAACAATATCGATAATTACAGCGATCCCAGGCGTGAGTATCGACTAACCCACTGTTATGCTCAATGTGCACTGTTACTATGCCAGGTTTAAATTGGTAAGTTCACGGTAATCAACTGTTCGTTTTTAAGCGACCAACGCTTTTAATTAGGAGTTATTTTATTACAAATATAATATGAAACTATTTGGCTATGCATGTTAGTGATTAACAAATTTATTATAGCTGGTCTACTTTGCTTTTTATGCTCCAAACTAACAGCTGCATTGTCCGTTAAATATTTGCTCACAATGGCACTGTCCGATCGTTCAAATTTAAAAAAAAAATTGATTAAGCGGGCTTAATTAACAACCAGTTGTGTTGGCATTGATGAACTGCACAAAGAGTTGCGGCACCTGTTCCAATGGAGCCGGTGTCGTTTGGCTGGCCCTACATCTGCTTGTTATGAACTTTTGCCGCAATCGATTCAGATGCATCGGATTCATAGACGTTGTTACTTTAACCTTTATTGTGCTGCCCCTGACGCGCAGTTGGCCAAAGGCACCAATTTTGGCAGCACCCAGAATCTCCTTAATGATCTCCTGCATGATGACGTCCAGTTCGAAAAGGTAATTCGTAGCGCCCAACGGCGGCTAAAAAAGGCAGCAGTCAATAAAGTTCCTAAAAAAAAATTTTCATTGCTTACGTTCTGTGTGCTCTGATTAGGCGGCAATGGGCGCGTCTCGTAAAGCGACTTATAGATGCTCTCTAAGTCGATTTTATCCTCTGGCAATGCCACATACAAAGGACTATCCCAGCGACTGTTACCGTGCGGCTCCTCGTAGCGCATGCACAGCGCATCAAAAATCTCGCGGGTATAGGGTACATTTGAGTTATTTAACTGATCTTCGGTAGCTGTTTCTTGCAGCACATCGGGAGCAGAGCGCTGCGTATTGAAGCTCCACGCCTGCTCCTGCGGTATGCACGTAAACAGGGTGCACTGTGTCGTTCTTGCAGCTTTCGTCATGCAGAAGATCTCATAGCGATAGCCTGTCAAAAAGAATATCTAAATTTAGCTGAGTAACAAAATAAATGTAATGAATGATCACCTTTAATATAGTTGCCTGCATCGAGTATCACTACGTCCTCCTTGTTCAATTGCCTGGACGCTTCCGATTTGAGATCGCTGCGCACAATTTTCTCCTTCTGCGAGTCGCCAAAGAATGCGTTTTTCTCGAAGAGCGCTTTGGGCACGGCCACATTTTCACTAATTAGATGCACCTTTTTGTCTCTGCTCACAAAGTATTCTTGCAGTTCGCGGGCTCTTGTCGATTTGCCGCTGGCTGGAAGGCCAGAAATTACAATTATTGGCATTATTTAATTATATTTATTGCATTATACTTTAGACTTTAATTTATTCGGCTAGTGCGTGCCAGACCAGTGCTGATAAACGCGTACACGCATTGCAGTAAGAAACATCGATTGGGCAATAAAATTTTGCTTGATATCGATAGAACAACAATCGACAAATCATCATTAAGCTGGGAAGCTTAAATTTATATATTTGTGACATAAATTAAAGCTCTAATTGTCAAAAATGGACATTTACTATATATGGCAAAACGGAATTTAATTAGAAAAGTAAGTATTTTGTTTTTTGTTATCCATTCATGTTTTATAATTTGCATTGAAGAATATATTTTGAATTCAAAGCGCCAATTATTGTTCTATCGCTGCCAATACATTTCCAGTGTTGCTAAATACTGAAAAAAAAAACGCACAGCTGATCACAGGCAAGGCTCCGATTGGTGCTCAGACTTCACTGTGCTGCAGTGCATCTGGCATTTTTGTTCCACTGTGCGCTGCACGTTACGGACTTGCGGCATGGCAGAGAACCGCAGACGTTTTCGCAACAAAAAACGCGTGAGTATATCGAGCGAGGCTCAGCAGTTGGAAATGCCAATTGCTCAAGTTATTTGTTTTCTTTTAATTATATCAGGAAGATGGACGTCAGGGTCCTTCAACGTCAACACCCGTGACAATTGCACGTCGCGAAGACCTACGCACGCCCCTAGTCCAGACAAAGATATTGTTAAAAAAAGAGGGCGACTCGAATCCGGGAAGTGGCAGCAGTGGTAGCAACAACGATCTTCCCACATCCATCAGAACAATCATCATCAATCGCAGCGATGCAGCGCCCCACGGCTGCAATCCAGCTCCACCCAATCTCATTTCCGCGTTAAACAGCTCAACAGCGGCCAAAGAGAAAACAAATGGCACATCGAATCCCAATCAGGACTCACAATTACCAACTCGAATGACAAGATCGACGTCTCTGTTCGTAGCAAACGGCGTCTTCAACGCCAATGCACGCAAACTCTTCCACAGAAGCAATACGGATTTCGCTGTCATCGGCGTGATGGGCGCCCAGGGTGTTGGAAAATCCACGCTGCTCAATCTTCTAGCCAATGAACGTGCCAGTGACTACGATTACTATCAGCATCTGATTGCTCCAGAGGCAGACGAGTGCATATTTTCCATAAAACATTGCTCCAAGCACCAAAACCAATCGCAGGTGCATCAACACCAGCACCAGCATCAGCACCAGCACCAGCACCAGCACCAGCATCACCATCACCACCAGCAGCAGCAGCAACAGCAGCAGCAACTGCAGCAGCAGTTGAATGGCACCAAGCAGGTGCTGCATCCGCGTACTGAAACTCTACAGTTCTTTATTACTCGGGAACGTTTTGTGCTGCTGGATGCGGCGCCGATGCTGGCCGGCAGCACGGCCAAGGAGGCAGACTATTTGGATCTGCAAACGCTGTCCACTATGATGCAATTGCTCAGCGTTTGCCATGTCTTGTTGCTGGCACTGGATGATCTGAACCTGGAGCAAGTGCGTCTATTGCATGCCGCTCTGCGGCTGCGTCCACGTGCGCCCTGCAAGGGCTACGTGCGCAACTACTTGCCCCAGTTGATATTTGTCCGCACACGCGCCAAGCGTCAGGATTATGAACCAGCTCGTCGCGATCAGCTGGACAAACAGTTGGCGCTGCTTTTCGAGAGCACCGGCCTGCCCATCTATCGAGGGCGCGGCGAGGCGCGTGTCCTTAACAGTTTATTGCTCCCAGAGCTGTGTGGCAATGCAGCCGCTGCTCATCATGCGAGTGCGTCGGAGCTAGTGCGTCAATTCCGTGAGCGCGTTTTCAGCACGGTTCGTATATCCATGTGCAACAGCAACGACTTCACCGAAGTCCTTTGGTTCGAACTGCTGGCCGAGACGGCCAAGATCTGTGCCACGGACAGCCAACACTTCGAGCAGCTCTTCGCGGAGATCAAACTGCGGCACCTCGAGCTGCGACCCAAATGGCGACCCGACTCCAATTGGCGCAACGAATCCGCCTGAACTGCAATCTGCACATGCATCAGAGCAGCATAGAGTGACAGGGACAGAGACAGATGGAGCTGCATAAATATACTACTATTAGACCTATAGATATATCGCTTGTATATACTCGCACATACTTATATTACATATGTATCGATAACTATCGATTTACATATGCATAAAGACGACTTAGATATATTCGGCCTATGGCTGCAATTTCGGGGCTGGCGTTGGGGCTCTCTGTCGCGGAGATATTATAATTTAGTTATATAATATGGGGACTGACATATATTTGTCATGGCTCTTATCTATCGGGCATTTATGAAGCGGATCTTGTGTTCATCAGTTGTCAATCGATATTTATCGATCAAGCAATGTCATCATTCAAATGTGTATTTTGAGTTGTTCGCCAAATATCGATAAATAATTTTTGTTTAGCCAAACCTCATTTAAACAAGCTATATAAATCGACAAATAATTGTCGATTCTTTCTATGAATGCTGTTAATAGTCTAATACCTTGGTATAAATAATATGTACAAATATCTTATAAATGTCTAAGAAACAGTGCGTATGGGCATCGATAGTTATCGATCTAAAAAGAAAAACAAATAATGAGAACTTGTACTTTTTAATAGCTTTAACAAACTCTTTGGTGTCAAATAAAGAACTTACATTTTGTAGTCAGATATAAAGATAGATAGAACAGGTCAGCTTATATATTTATTAATATATACATAAACTTTCGTAAATATTTCCATATCTTCACGTATTAGACGGAGTACATTAATTTATAATACATTTTAATGAAATTTGTACAGTTTACACGGACTGCTGGCATGAACTAGAGATTCAGGCTATAGCTATATATAGTAAAGTTCTATAGATAAAGCTTAGCTGTTGCTTCTTCTAAAAATTAGGATTTTTATTTGGTCCAGCATTTGAAATTCGTTCATTTTTATTTGTGCTACTTTTGTGTAGTTCTCTCCTTCTCTCTCTGCATATATATATATAAGCAGGCGCGGTGGGCGTGGTCGGATGTGTGTGTGCATGTGTGAGATATCACGTTTGCTTCGGCTGCACCTCAGTCTCTAGATCGACATCTTGGTCGTTACTTTGGTTCACAATGAGGTCGGGTGGCTCCTTGTTGTCGCGCTCCTTCTCCTCAGTCGCCTGCTGTGGCTTAACATAGTCGTTGGTCGGCTTGCGACAGACCCAGAACAGGCTCTGATATTCGCTTTGCTTCATCGATTGTGGATTCTGTGCGTATTTGGTGCGTATGCCGCTGCGCGAGCTCAATATATCGAATCCAATGCTCTCCATAATGATGATCAGATCCTCGTACGTTGGCTCAATGCTGTTCTGGCCATTGATGTCGCTGTAGTGATAGAGCAGCGGTCCCAAATTAACCCAAATGCCGCCAGGCACTAGAATTCTGCAAGAAGAAAAGGTCTCAAAAGGATGTTTCCAGTTGTGCTTAAGCAAAATCTCAAAATCGATTATTATCGATATTCAAAAATATAGTAGCTGATCAAGTTATTTATACAGCAGGATAGACGAGTCAATTGAGTTTGCGTTTTAGACCAAATTGCAAACTAAAATACCCAGAACAATTCCTGAAGCGGAGCATAATGAACTGCATGAACTCACTTGTAAATTGTGCGTACAAAATCGATAACATTGTTGGCGCAATCAATAAAGAAACATGTTGCTACACAATTGTAGGCATTCGGCGATTTGTACACCTCCAGAAAGTCCCCGGCGGCCATTTCGATGTTGCCCTTGGGCGGATTCCTAACCGGACAGACGTCGGGGAAGCGCACAGCGGCCACCTGATCGGCGCGTCGCATATTGTTGACGTACTGATGCACCCAGGGATAGAGCACATGCTTGTTCTCATAGTCGCACAGGTTCAGCACGAAATTGGATGCGATCAGCATGAAGTAGGAGAACTCGTTGCCCTCACAGGCATAGCCACGGCAGGCCAGCTCGTAGGTAAGCCTGCCCAGTCCAGCACCAGGCACTAGGATTTTAATCTCATTTAGTTTACTGCAAGAGGGAGACAGAGACAGAGAGAGTTATATATACATAAGATCAGATAATTACCGTATGACTTTCTACTATTAGTATTCAAGAGGGTATATTAGTTTTGTGAACTATAGAAATAGCTGAGTCGATATAGCCACGCCTTTCCGACCGTAGTCAATGCGAACTATGCCCTCTGGTTAACTATCAATCAAATCATTGACTCAGTCAGTCAGTCAGTCAAAATTTCCTCTATATATATATGACGTCTAGAACTATCATAGTTAATACTTACTAATCGCTGGGCTTGTAGTACTCCTCGATGCTGTCGATGATCGGCTTGTAGGACTGTTCACGTTCTATGGCACATTCGGCGCTCCAGTCACGTGCGATCAGCTTCAGTGTGGATTGGGCCTTTAAAATTTTGAGAGGTTCAACATCATCAGCAACAACAACATCATCATCATCATGACCATCAACAAGAAAATTAGTCTAAGATATAGATAGATTTTGTTGTTTACAGTGTTTCTTTTTGAAAAATAAACCAAAATACAAATTGCCAATCAATGCGTAGGAGAAGCTCTGATGCAGTGAACATATAACAGAGCCTGGAGCGCTATCATATCATATCATAACATATATCATATCTTTCATCTATATGTATTCTATATATCTAGTGTGCTAAGTCAACAATCAGTTTACATATGAGTGCATTAACCGTCTGTATCGATAATTATCGATTATGGCGATACATTATTAGCCTTTTGTTAGCAATGCACATCGATATTTATCGATAACTATCGATCATGAGAACACATTAAATACTTAAGAGCATAAAAAATATATACAAAAACTCTCTTTTTGTTTCACTGTGCATATGCAGAAGATATGTATATATATATAGATATGCATGTCGCTAGGTAATTCCAGGCTGTAGACTTTTTAAACCACACTCACTTGATCCATGTCGCCGTGTCGCACATGCTCGGGTGCCTCATCCAGCTCCACGTCCGTGTCGCCATCGCTTGTTGGATAGAGGACGCGATCGCGCAATATCTCACGGATCACAGATTGATTGCAATCAATGCAGTTGCGGACGCTGTCCAAGTGTGAACGATATTTGCTAAGCAAGCGCTGATCTTCTGAGGACAAGCTATTGAGGTAAGCTTCCGTTTTGTTAACCCTTATGTAGGCGTACCGTCTATTTTGTGGTGTGTGGGAATAGAGTTAAAGATTAGACCAGATGTTCTGCATACACATGCAAGAACACAGGCACACAACCATACACATATGTATATACACATATACAATACGTTGGCACATGTTAAACCGCTTAAATTGATTTTCGTTATCAGCTGTTGAACATGCACATGCATGCTCACTTTTGCTCAAGCTGTGCGAGTGTGTCCGCGAGCGCGCGTATGTGTGTGTGTGTCTCAGGGTAATTTGCATTCGCATTTTGGACATTTATACCGTTTGTTTACAATTGCATGTACACCCACCTGTAGTACTGAAAGGCATTCTGCACTTTTTGTATGTGACGCCGTTCCTCTTCATCTTCTTTGGCCGTAAATGCCAGCGCCTGATCCTCATGCATTTTTGGATACATGGGAAATGGTAACGATGGCACCATATCGCTCATGCCCGCAAAAAAAATGGTAAATGAACTAATTTATAAACGCTTAAATACCTATAAGTACTTAAGACAACTTATCGATACTTTATGCACAAGTTATCGTGCAACCAGTGTGACCTTCTGAAAGAGCTGTGGGCAACATATATGGTGCCGCTGTTTTGCAATCGAACTATCGAAGCTGCATTGAACAATCGGCGGCGGAAATTTAAAAAAAAAACTATCGACTGTACGAAAATATTAATGTTCGAAATTGAAAAAAAAAATTAATTTAAAAATTATGCTTGTTATAAATTTATTAAGTGCTTTACACATAAGTAACAAAATGTTGTTTAACCAATAAATAGTACCTCTTAGTCAGAATAAACCATATTTCAACCATTTTTTCGATATCTCTTTTGTGATTAAACGCAATGCGCAAACGTTTCAACATAACTGCATCAACGAGTGTTAAAAAAAAAATATATATATATATATATATATATATACATATATATATTACATAATTATATATATATATATTTATATATAATTATATAAGAAACAGACATTTGTACAAATTAATGATCATTGGAGGGGAACTTGGTCGATGCCATTTGTTGAGGTTTGCTGTCTTTTATTTTTTATCGAATGATTGATATATATATATATATATATATATATATATATATATATATATGTTTATATATATATATATATATGTTTATATATATTTATATTTATATATATATATATGTTTATATATATTTATATTTATATATATATATATGTTTATATATATATATGTATATACTTGTAGTATTTGCATTAATTGTAGTAATTGCTTAGAGTTAAATTGGATAGATTGTGTAAAATAATTGGTAAGTGCTCGCTTGTACAAATTTAAGTAAACAACAGCGCATTTGACCACAGGAGTATTTCGAAAATTATCTCATTATGGAGCTAAGCACATTCAGTTTTCAGTAGCTGATGGCGATGATGGCTGCTCGATCTCCTCTAAAGCCAGCTCAACGAGCGGAGCTCTAGGCTCCCGCTCTCGCTCCCGCTCTCGTTCTCTGTCTCGATGACGCTTTGGTGGAGATTGTGATCTAGGTGAGAGTCGTGATAGCTCAGCCAAAAGTGTGCTTGTCGTCGGCGTCGATGGCGTAGTCGTTGCGGAACCTGTGGCAGATGTGGACAGATTATCAAATGATTCACAGTGCAATTCCGTATCGCTAGACAGATTTGTAACGGAGGAATTGGAATTGACTGTGGCAATGCGTGACCAGTGGGTCAAGCTATTCGGGCTGGCAGCTGTTAAGGCGACCGACAACGAAAGTGCCGCAGCTGCACGCGACGTACTTGCAATATCATCGTCTGCTATCGACTGCTGCTCAATTGATTCTTCGCGTTCGCGTTCCTTTTGCTGCTCGGCTATTTTTTTCAGATAGCTCTTGTCTTGACTGGGACATTCCAGATGAACGCAATGGAATATCTGTGAAGTAGAGTAAAGTTAATATTTGCTTTAAATTTTCTTAATTCCATTTAGACGCGCCTCATTTGCTGTATTGCGCGTGCCCACGATTCGTATGAAGACAATGGGACGGGGGGTGAAATGAAAGTTTTGCCAGGAGCGCGCTTTCTCGTTCCGCTTATCGACGGCTATTTGCCAATTTTTGCGATTTATCGATGTCTCTATGTAAAAACTATAGGTGCGATCATCACAATCCCACAGAAGTAAACGCATCGATCCGATATAATACGGTTGACCAAGACGCACGACAATCTCACCGCTGCCCAGCTGATGGCAAGTATAACCCGAATCCCAATCGTAGCGCGCAAAATCGCCATTAATTAATGCATTGCGTGTCCGACTAACTCCGTCGGTGACAATGGCGCTCATCTCAATGGTGGCCACATTCGCCTTGGGCGCAACAAAGCCATCAACGATTTTGGGTGAGTTCGATGTGTGCATGGCTTCCAAGCCAACTACGTGAAACACCTAAAAGACAATAAATTAGTAACAGTATTCCAATTATTAAGCAAATCTACAACAGCTCACCCGATTAACTGTGTTCTGTGTACCCACAAGGCGTATATAACGCAGTGGACGTGCCTCAAAGTATAAAAATTGCCAGGAACGGCAATGGTATTCACTATAATCAATGATGCGCTCCCAATGCTGTTGATTCCCGGATACCTCTACAAAATAGGAGTAAGCACGACTGTCACGATCCCATAGAAGCATGCGTATATGATTGATCATGCACATAGTGCCTAGTTCAACCACAATGCCCGCATCATTGCTATCAGTGATGCAGTGGCGTGTATAACCGTGCTCCATGTCATACGAGGTAACATCGCCATCCAACAAGGATGAACGACATTCGCCTTGGATGCAGTGCGCTGAATATTTGGCCGTTGCCACATTCTCCTCTGGCCAGAGTGCTGCACGATAGGGCAATGTCTTTGAGGTGCTTAGCTCATCGATGGCATCCAGAATTTTATCTGGCTCCAAAATGCCCGATGGTCGAACAACTTGTAGCAAATGTTCCAGATTCATGAGCGGCAGACGAACAAAGGAGACAACCGTTTTGATATCAATATCTGGATTATAGCGACTCCATTTCCAGACGGCTAAAAATATTTGCACCTCCGGCGCAAAAAAGCAATCGCGACGCAGTACTTCCTCCAGCGATTCCTAAAGGAAAATCCTTTTTTAGAGTGAGTTTCAATTGCTGCTGTCTTTGGCTCACCTTTGAAAGCATTTTAAAGGTATCATGCTGCAGCAGATCGACGGCATTTCGATCCATAAACATGAGACAGACTTGTGTGAGTTCTTCGAGATTGTAGAGCCGTGCTGCATCCAATATCATGCAGACATTGTTCAAAGCCAAATATCTACGCAGATACTTTGATATGGCCATTTCCAGATCCTGAAAGCCATACTGATTGGCCATACCCAGCACACCGATGACGGCGTCCTCATCCAGTGTGGCCAACGACAGAGTGCCTGAGTAAATGTACCGTAGTAACACTTTAAACGGCTCCAGTGGCACTTCCATTCTAATTTGTCGCTGTGTCGCCTCCGACATGCCGCCATAAAGCAGAGCACGAAAATACTCGCTTCGTGCAGCCAATATGGCTCGATGTGCCGGCAGCCGTTGTTCCTCCACAAAGAATTCCACATCTGCATAACGTTCGTTCATACAGAGCCGGGCTATATCCGCTGAGAACCGATCGCCCAGATCTATTTCATCAGTGTATTCCGTTATAGCGGTAGTATCTGTATTGTTCTTGCCATTGGCCAGTGTTGCCAGACTGTTGCATCCGCCTCCGCCGTGCATTTTATGATGTCCCTGGCTGCTCATTGTTGTATAACTAAATAAACTATTTACGTGTGTATGTGTCTGTGTCGGTGTGCGAGTGCTTCTTTTCGTTTTTTTTTAAATTTGTTTATATTTTAATAAACAGTTTCACACAATAAACTACTAATTAATTACGCAGATTTATAAGTGTATAAATATTAATATGCGGTGTATACAGATTATATTGCATACCTGCTTTATATTATTGTATGTTTGTTTGTTTCATTTTTTTGGCAAGGGCTTGCAATTCTGACGACTGCTTAACAAATGATTCTTCCTTTCTTGATTTTGTGTGGGTGTTTGTGTGTGTGTGTGTTCATTTGTTCAACTTTGGTTTTGTGTACCCGTTGGGCACCGTTATTTTATTGTCTGGCCATTCACAGTATTCTTTGGCATCTGAATTTCCCCGAGGCAGGCAATCGTTTAATTGTGAAATAAGTACGTACAAGTACTTTGGCCGATTTATAAATCGAATTAAGTTGCTGCAATCTGCTAATGTTTTCTAGTTGCAAGAATTAATAAATTAGCGATGCGTGTAGGCATATTAACTATTTATCGGTGCCTAGCTTTCGATGATAGTACAACAGCCGGTAACATCGTTTAAGTTGCTGTTGTTGATTAAAAACAAAGAATAGAAAAGAATAATCGAAGATAAAAATGTAGAAATTAATTCGGTTGACGGCTTAAATTCTCTAATTTTTCTACACGTTACAAATTTTTGGCAGATAACTGCATTAATTGTCGATAGCACGATTACTAAAAGATATGCAGCGGCGAATCTAATTGGCGATGAATATCTTTAAGTTTTCCCTGACATTTTGGAAAGAGAAGTCGATTAAAAGTCTTTAATAATTGATGGTAATAATTTTGACCGCCTATATAATCGATAGAGCATCGATTACAAAACAGCTGTTGTGGGCAAAGCCGCTTATTACCCAAGTGTCATCGCTAGCATAATTTCAAAGGTGTTTGTGTTTTCCAATTATAAACCGTTTTATTGTTAATTCTATAGTAAATATGGTGAAAGTAGCTAAGGCGCGCAGCAAGGAGCATGCCGCGCGCAGTGACAATGAAACGCAACCAAACAGCAACGATGACGACACCAAAAACAAGTCAGCAAAATCAAAGACAATTAAGACTCATGGCGATGCCGCAAGCCGCAAGAAGAGTAAAACGCGTAAGCAAAAAACAACACGCGATAGCTCCAGCTCGAGCTCCTCCTCCGACAGCAGCGATAGCAGCAGCAGTAATAGTGACAGCAGCAGCAGCAGTAGTAGTAGCAGCGACTCTTCCAAATCCTCTCCTGACAACAAACGCGCCAAAAAACCGAAGCTGAGCAAAGACGCATCTCCCAAGAAAGAGAAACTACAGCAACAACAACATCGAGAGCCCGCTACGCAGGAGAGTAAAGTCCAAGAACAGCGCTCCAGATGGGATAGTCCAGAGCGTCATAGCTCGAGCAAAAACACAAATAAGACCCGCAAGCGTAGTCGTAGTCGAGAACACGAGCGGGAACGAGTGCGTGAAAGGGACAGAGACAGGGAAAGGGAACGAGAGAGGGAGAGAGATAGGGATCGAGATCGTGAGCGTGACAATCAAATGCGACGCGGCCGTGAGAGGGAACGGGATAGAGAACGGGGGCGAGAACGAGAGCGCAGCAAGGATCGCCGTCAGCAGGCGCAGCAACATCAGCAGCGAATGCGCAGCAATGAGCGAAGGGTAGAACGACCACGTCGCTCACCCGTCGATGGACGGCGGTAAGTAAATGAGTATTATTGCCGTAGCTGCAACATTCTTAGCTTGACTTTTATCCATTGCAGTCGCAGTAGAAGTCACAGTCGCAGTCGCAGTCCTCGGGATCGTGGCTATAGGGGCGGAGGCAGTGCAGGTGGACCACGTCGCCAACAGCGACCACGCAATGATAATCGTAATCGTGACGAGGAACATTTCGAATGGGGCAAGCCTACCGACAAGGACAAGCCGCCGCCAGCCAACGAAGACGAGACCGTCGAGAAGGAGAAACCCAATTTTGGGCTAAGTGGCGCTTTGACTGAAGATACGAACAAAGTGAATGGCGTCGTGGTTAAATATTCAGAGCCGCCCGAAGCACGCAAACCCAAGCGTCTGTGGCGTTTATATCCTTTCAAGGGAGAAACGGCGCTGCCCACACTGCACATACATAGGCAGAGCTGTTTTCTGGTGGGACGCGATCGCAAGGTAGTTGATCTTGCTGTCGATCATCCCAGCTGCAGCAAGCAGCATGCAGCTCTACAATACCGCTTGGTGCCCTTCGAACGCGACGACGGCAGCACGGGAAAACGGGTGCGTTTATATCTTATTGACTTGGAGTCAGCAAATGGCACATTTCTTAACAATAAGAAAATCGACGGACGTAAATACTATGAGCTAATGGAGAAGGATGTCATCAAGTTCGGCTTCAGTTCGCGGGAATACGTGCTGTTGCATGAAAACAGCAAGGAGGACCAGGAAGACGACGATGTGCATATCAAAGACGAACCGCTTGAGCCAGCCGCCGATCAGGCGACTACACAAATCTAAAAGAGAAGACTTGCACGAATAATTGCATGCTGTCTCGCTCTCGCTCTCTTTATATTTCTCTGCGCTCCGTTCTTAAGTCAAGTTCCATTGTATACTAAAAAAGAAAAAAGAAATGAGAAGAAAAATGTATCACAAATAATTTGTTGTCTCAAACCCCGCTCACTCTGAATTGTGTATTTTGTCCATTTTTTGTGTTTTGTCCACATTTTATATTTTGTTAAACATGCGGCACGTTTCAGCGTGCGACCAACTGCCAACATTGAAATACAAGCAACAATATTACTTCCTCATCAAACTGCGCATCGATTTTGTATTTTAAATGCTGCAGCTCAAGCAGAGCTCCAAACAGTCCAAGATGCGCGCTCGTGCCTTCATCATCATCCTCAGCATCTGGTGCTGTTGCAGCGGTGCCTCTGCAACTCGGCTGCGGCGTCAGGTGGTGCAGCCGCAGTGGCTAATGCGGCCCGATTTGCTGCCCTCTGCCCAGGCGACCAAGGTGAAGGTTACGCCACAAAATCTTCAAGAAGTCGCTGCCCTTCGGGCCGCCATTTTAAGGGCGGTCAATGATGGCACCTACGCGGTGGACGCCAGTTCGAAGCAGGTGAGTTAAGCTGCCAAAGAGGCCGCTTGTTTTAACCGAAATTCAATATGATAGAGCAACTGTGCTTGACCCAGCTCCAACTGACTGTTAATAAGGATATAGCTGAATATTGTTCAAATTTAACATGAACTTATATGTGCTGTCAAATCTAAGCTAGCTATGCCATGGGAGAACTGACTGTCAGTTTTGGCACATGTTAAATATATGTCAAATATCCCTTGATAACCATTTAAATTCATACAATTTTCAGTTCGTGCCAGGTGTGAGTCAAACAAGTAAACCTCGAGCAACTGCGGCACCATTGAAAAGGCCCGTGCAGCCAGCTTTTCCGTCTTGGTGGCAACCGGGTAAGATATTATGATTCTTGTTTGTTTGCCTGATATAAAGTTTATTATATGCTTCAGTTATAATAAATATATATATGAATATATACGTGTGTCTTATAGGTTAGATAGATCCGAAAGTGCTCGAAGTTCGTTGCGTTTAGCGATCGAAGAGATGAGGCAGCTTTAAAAGACGACGCGACTTCAAAAACTGCAAAACATTTCGAGAAGGAAACGGAAAAAAACAAAAATAAAATGCAATTTCTTTGGATTTTTATTCAAAAAAAAAAAAAAAAACAATAAAAATTAATAATATTTTATAATATATATACATATATATATATATATATATATATATATATATATATATATATATATATATATATATATGATTGTATGTAGGAATGAAATATACATATATATATTTTTTATATATATATAAACTATGTAGCATATGAAATTTTTAATTATCAAACAATTTCCAACAGTTTCATTTTGTTGTATGTGTTATTTATAGGGTATACATAGGGTATATATGTATATATTATATATATAGATCGCTGTACAAAATCTCAGTAAACATTAAATTTTTCTCTAGCACTAAACAAAAATGCTCTAAAATACACATACACGCACACGCACACACAGGTGTGTGTGTATATATATGTATCATATATCATATATCATATCAAAGATACTTAGACGCACGTATAGCCTGTTTACTGCAAATCAAGAGGTATACATGAGTTTCTGTATGTGTTTTGTGGAACTATAACTAGGCTTCTCTTCTCTTCTCGTCCCTTTTGCTATGCACATATATAGAGCTATATATGCGATGTGTATATCAACTTGTTGCATAAAAGTTGTTTTTTTTTTTTTTATTTTTTATTCTTTCAATATTTGTTTTGTTCCCTTTGCAATGAAAACCGACTTTAATATTTTTAACAAAATTAGCGAATTGAAGAATATAAATTTGGGGAAAAAGCAAACATCTGGCTTTGGCCGATGCCGGAATATACTTACAGAGAGCATTACGCAGGATAGAAACAAGAAACAACAAATGAAAAAATCTTCACTCTACTTGATATTTGCACAAATTTCATTTTCTATTTGATTTCTATTGTTTTCTAGCTTCAATAAATCTATGTTGGTCCAATTAAATACGCTTCAAGCGTGAAATTTGTGTTGATTTTGTGCCTGGGTCTGGTAAACGTATTGTCTAGCAATACTAGACTTGGTCTATTCGGTCTACTATTTCGATGTATGTGGCAACTGCGGTGAACAAAAAGCTTAGTCTATAAATCATATACAATATATATAAAGATATATCGAAAAAGTGAGATGGATCCACCAAGCTTAGGTATACAAGTCTCTGTTAGAAGTCAAAACAAGCTTAAGATATGTATTATACAAGTTATTAAAAATGACTATAGTTTATGATTGGGCAGATAATAGCAGACTGATATGGATAAACGTGACTTTAACAAAGCTCTCTGTAAGTCTCTAAGCTAATTTATCGATGGCAATCGAATTGATATCGAGTTTACAGTTGCAGACAATATTACAGTTGTACGGTATAACAGTTTTTGCATTTCGACAGTATTATAGTATTACAGTATTACAGTATTACATACATATAGTACATAGATATTAACGCTCCATTTAGCTAGGGTTTCACATTTTAGCTTATATCATAAAAAAAAGGTTCTAAATACTAAAATTATCTATCATTTTGTTTTACATCATTTCGTTTTCTTTTACATTTTGCATTACATTTATGATTCTATTCTTTAATTTAGTTCATTTGGTTTTTGTTTTTAATATAAGGCGTCTTTCAGATCCGTTTGCTTGCAGAAAGGGTTGAAAAAGGCAAAGGAGTTGAATGGGGAATGATCGATGTGAATTTTGAAGCTCGTTGATTGGATGTGTTTGGAATGCTTGAATGAAACAGGCGAGGGTAGTCCGACAACCTGCAGCGTTGACTGAACTTTTCTGTTTTCATAACTCGTTGTCAAACTACCCTCGCATGCTATATATACATATATGTATATATATTTATTTGTATTTGTATAATTAGGTGCAAACTAATATGGCATTTCGCAATAAAATTGTCTCACGTTAGTTTCTTTTCCTCTGTCTAAATGCTAAACACAACATTTTGTGGCTAGTCTTATGGTTGCTTTGTTTTTTTTTCTTTTGGGCTGTTGTTTTGGTTTACTTTAGTGGTTCATAAAGCTACGTTTGGTTTAACAAGTACTTTAACATGAGCTTTAACATGATGTCGAATTGTGTCTTAAATTAAACATGGCTGCACTGGATACAACTAGCGCTGCGAACCTGTTTGACTTCGAAGTGCGAGAATTCCAAATTTTTTATTTCGATTTTATCATATATATATATATTTGTATATGGCTTTACTCGAAATTTGATCTTTCATTTTTCTTTTACATTTTAATTTGCAAATTTGTTTACAATTTTTCAAATCATTTTCTTTGTTATATTCCAAGTTATGTTCGTAAAACGATATTTTGAATGAACTGAATTGAATTTAAGTTCGGAGTTCGCACCGGTTCATAGGGCTTCGATACAATGCAGGACATTCGAATAGAGCCATGTAATGATTGATCGATGCTTACAAAAAAGTGAACAACTATTTAGCTATATGCACTATATATATATATATGTATACTAGATTAATGTTTAACAAAAAAAAAAAAAAAAACAACGTGCGCTGAGCTGCATAGATCAGTCAGCCCCTCCCCTGTACCCATATCATATCATATCATATCATATATATATATATATATATATATATATATATAATATTACAATATTAAAAATGAATTTAAACTGATGTAGCTGAAGAAAATGGAGTACGACAAGATCTGCAACTGGGTGGCACTACGTTCCATTTAAAAAGCATGTTCCATAATAATAATCCAGATTGTCGTTGTTGTTGTGGTTGTTGTTCATATTGTTCAAGTGGCTGTTGTTGTTGCAGTTTTGTTTAGTTGTTGTCTCTGGCCGATACACTACGTATTATGATGCATGACAGATTAGGCATGATTATGCATATAGCGTTATATATATAGTAATATATATCTATATATACATACATATATATATATATTCTTATCTAACCTCATCGATATCCTCGCCCTCCGACGAGCTTCGAATGGTGTTGTACTGGGAGTTGCGGCTGCGTAGCATACGCAGAAAACTGCCCACCGCGAATATGGTGCGGCGATGTCGATGGAATATACCCTGATATAAGGCCTCTCGTAATGTCTTGCGGTCCTCAACGTCCACAGATGACGTCAATGATGTTTGATGCGGCAAACGTGCTGCGAATAAATATATGCACCATTTAATAATTAGTAATAATAATTGCGATAAGGCAAGACGATCGTTAAAACAAGCGTGAGCCTGCTCTAGCCGGGAGTGCTCGGTTTGCAGATACCCTCTGCTGTATTGATAGCTAGTCTTTCATTATTTTTGTCTTTGCATTTCAATTTTTGTTATCTGAAGCGCCGGCTATAAGTCTAGCCTAACTAGAAGTTATGTTTTTGTTTAAAAATCTTATAAATCCTCACCATAGATCACATGCCCAATTATATGTCTCCAGCTCAGAAAGGCCTATATACCAAATTAATAAGTCTCTAGCTTTGGCTACTTTCGATTACTGTTCAAAAAATGTCAATCTACAAATCGATTTTTATCGATAGCTACACCAATATATGTGGTTATACTTTGTGATACTTCTTAAGAGTTGCGCTGTCTAGCTTCTACAGTTCTCGAGTTCTGCTATAAATATCAATATACAAAATCGATATTTATCGATATGTTATTGGAATAATTTTAACCTACATCTAAGTCAACTCGCAATTTTATGACATAAATATATGTGATTCATGCTGAATCAGCAACGATATGCTCTGCTCGCTGTGGCTTGCAGGGTATATAAATTAATAAATACATAAATGGACACTGTCTACAGTTTGTAGTTAACCGAAAGACCTCAAGTCGAAGCTTCTGTTGCTCAGATTAATTTTCGTATGTGGCTTGTGGCCAGACGCAGCTAGACGGAAATATGTCTATATATATATATATATATATATATATATATACATATGTGTATATATTACTATGTAGTATATGTGTATATTTATATCATGATTGCTTGTTTGTTTTAGATCAGTTTTCATGGAAATATCAATTCAAGACGCATGACATTCGAGCACTCTCCCTCCGCACAAGAGCAGCTACAGTAAAAGTCAGTTAAACGCAATTTGTTCCGTACAGTTGATTGCATATAAATGCTTTCTAATCAACTCTGTTTACTCTGTGAGCTGTTTCAAAAATATCGTGGTAGCATATCATATATAGTATGTATCAGGTATTGCTCTAGTTTAGCTCTGCCGCGCTTCGCCAGCTCTTATTTAGGCTTAGCGATAATTATCGTGTAGTTATCGATACCATTTTGTTAATCTGTCGTTTAAGTTGACATTTAGTTTGCCTTATAGAAAGTTTAAAATCTAAGCCATCTTTACCAGGAACATTACAAGGCACAAAATTCGCATAGTCCGTGAAGTTTTTCAAGCTTGTTTGTTTAATTTATGTTTACTTTTGATAGTTTGCTTTCATTCTGCATTATAAATAGGACTTGGCTAGACTATAATAATAATATAATCGATATTTATCACTTTTATAGCCTTTTTTTTACTGTAGCTGGCAACCGTCAACTGTGTCAACTTTTAATTTGTAATTCTTAATTTAGAGCTGCTCTTTGCTGCCTGGTAAAGCACATTGTAAGCTTTACACTTAAACTTGTGTAGAAACAACCGCGATGTTTGTGCCTATGTAGTCTTCACTGTACGGCTCGCTGTTCATGTGCGTATTTAAAATTAATTTTCTGTTGGGTTGGGCTTCACTGTTTGTTTGGCTGTTTGTTTGATTGTTTGCTTTTTTTTATTATATTTTTTTTTACCAAGAACTTATCTGGCAGTTAGGTTGGGCTGGCTTTTTCTTTTCTTTTTTGTGTGCGCTCACACGAAACTTACCCGCAATGGGTGACTTTGGCGACTTTAGCGAATATTCATCAAAATTTTTGGCGCCCAAATCAAGTTTGAGCACCTTTTTGCTTAGCTGCTGTGTGGCTGCCTCCATGTTGCTCGACTTTTCAATTTTGATGTCCACATTGCGCTGGCTAACGGCACTTTTTGTTGTGGCTGCTGTTGTTGCAGCTGTTAATGTGGCTGTGGGTGTTGTTGGTGTTGGCGTTGCTGTTGTGCCAGTTGCTTTGGCATCGGCATCGGCAACGTTTGCATCGGACATGTTGTTATTGTTGTTGCTGCTGCTGCTGGTGTTGCTGTTGCTGCTGCTGCTGTTGTCGTCGTGCTTATCAATATGAATATTGATGCTGTTGCTATTGCCGTTGTTGTTGCTATTCGAATTGGAGGTCGCTGCTTGTGAACCGCTGGCACTTGCGGCCGTTAATGCTGCAAATTGAACGCTGCTGCTATTGCCGTTCGCTAACGCCGCTGTCGCCACCTCTGTCGCTGCTAACGTCGGCGTTATAGTTGCTGTTGTTGTTGCTGCTATTTGTACGTCGGCAGCAGCCGCCACCATTGTTCGAAATACGCAATAGTTTGGCTCAAAAGCCGTTTTATATATTTTTTGTTATAAGCTGCCCACAACTGTTGTCGCTGTCGCTGTTGTTGTTCGTTGTTGTTTGTCTGCCGTTTGCATATAAAAACAACAGGCAGGAAAAAAATCAAAAAAAAAATTGAAGAAAAACGAAACGAAACGATTTCCGATGACGTGCGCGCCTCTTGCTTTGTTCCAGTGTATTTTGCAGCTCGTTTGTTTGTTTGCTTTGTTGTTTGTTCTGGCAACTAATTGCACTTTTTTTGTTAGTGTTGCTGTTGTTGTTTTCGAGTATTGTTTTATGTTGGTGGTCTGGCTTCGTTGGGTATTTGCATTGGGCAACTGCCGGCTATTTCGAAGCTGCCGCCATACAGCGCCACCTGTTGCGTACAGTCGGTAAGCGTAATGAGCGGCAGACTGTTATCGCACAAACTCAATTGACTCAAGTTATCGATTATTTCATACAGCTTGCGATGCTGTTGCTGTTGATCGATGGCTGACACTTGATAACTGTTATTGCTGCTGCTGCTGATGCTGCTGCTGCTGTTGTTGTTGTTGTTGTTCTTAGTGTTGCTGCTATTTTCACCACACTGCCTGGCAAAATCGCACATGTCCGTTACGTTGCGCTGCCCGGCCGTTATGCGCACTCTGATGGCGTCTGTGCTCGAGCTCTGGTCTTGCACTGATGTCTGGCAACGCTCGCGCTGCTGCAGACTATTCAAAAATGTGCTCAACTGTTGCGGCTGCTCGACTGCTGCCCGCTGCCGCTGCGGCCAAGCTTCCAATGAGTGACGTCGCTGTTTGTATCGCTTCTGTTGCTGCTGCGACTGCTGCTGCTGCTGTTGCTGTTGCTGTTGCTTTATTGCATTACGCTGGCCAATCGATTGCAGGTACTTAATATTTGCTTGCAACCCCCGTTCGTAGTAGCTATTCGCCAACTGCAAATACGTGTATAGATCTATGCGCCGACGTCGCTGTCGCTGTCTCTGCCTCTGCCGCTGCTGCGGCTGCTGTTGCTGCCGTTGTAGGCTTTCCCTCGTATTAATATTTAGTACATGCTGCTCATAATTGTTGCTGCTGCTGCTGCGCCTGCTGCTGCTGCGTGCGCTGCCTTGGTTGCCATCATTGCCAATTGTCCTCGTGCCCCTTTCAGTTGCTGTGCGGCCCCCTTTGGCGGCGCCACTGCGTCAGTTGAGCTGCCGCTGCACGAACACCTTCAATTGGTCGCAGTTTTGAGTGCTTCTGATACGTTGCACTGTATCGTTGTAAATTTCGTCCGGTGGCAACGCCGAGCAAATCGTTTGCCGGCCACGGGGCGCATACGTAATGCCCGATCTGTAATTAGGTAAAGCGGGAAGGGTGAGTAAGCGGACGTTGCTGGTGTAAACATTAATTACAACAATGCCAAGCATTAAACGTATTCACTCGTACGAACACAAGGCAAACAGGCAAACAACAATGAAATAAGTAAACAAAATGGTGGAAGGTACAAGGGAGGGGGGTGGTGGTGGGGTCAGTGAGAGGGTCTGGCTAATATGATAATAAAGCAAAACGAGGCGCACACCGAGGGTCAGTGGATGGGCCTGGGCCTGGGTCTAATATAATCAAATAACGATTTGCACTGCCAGCTCAACTGACTGCTATTTACTTATCGTTATCGTTATCGTTAATATAAGTAATGTCAACAAGTGAGGTTAAGTGCGATACGGAAGTAGCTCCTTTTCCTTTATTTTTTCTTTCTTCATATATTTGTATTTTTTTCCCCTTTTGTTTTGATGATGCGGCATTCGCTGTGACCCCCGTGGCGGAATTAGCTTTGTGCAAAGGTTGGCTGGGGTTCGACTGAATGCTAAAGCTGCTTATTTCATAAAATCAATAGAAAATGAAAATGAAAGCAAAACAATATGATTGATGGGACTGTACTCGCTTATTTGTCAGCTAAGCTCTTTAGCTCTTCGAGCTGCCTAATCTTTTGGGGCTTACATCAACAAGAAATACAAATGCGAAATCCCGATTTGGATTGTAGCAGCTGCGAGCTAATCAATGGCTCTATTGGCTTTCCTATAGAATTTAGACAGATTTAAGCAAACAAAAAAAATGTCAAACGATTCAACTTAAGCTACCGACCAGGGGTCGGGGTCACACGACACAAGCTCAATGGCAAAATACTGCATATATGCATAGAATATTAGTGATTATATTTTAAGTTCTCGATAGCTAAGTTACTCACTCATTCAATATACTGTTGTCTGTGTTGTCGAAGGCTTAAGCTATCAGGGGTACTTAATTTTTATATCTATTGCCTGGTACAATAATATTCCTTTACCCTAATTTTATCCTAGCTACATCCTTTTCCAAGCTAACCTCGACTGCTTTTATGCGATACATTTTATGTTCTTTCCCCAACAATGGGTAAACCTAATATATAATTAAATGTCAATAAATAAACTCTAGTTTATGGGCCTAGGGAAGAAGGCGTTCTATTTACACTTCGCTCAATTTAGCAGGTTTTTTTTTGATTAGTTTAGCCGATGGATTATTAACAGGGATATTCCCTTATAATCAGATGATAAGAGATGAAGAGACCGAACGCTTAATATATGGCACATTCCCACTAGATAAAACCCCCAAGTGAATATACGTAAGTTCTATTTTTTCACTATCTGCATTTGAATGCGGAAAACCCAAGTGGGCAATTGTCAACTAACCAGCAAACCCACGAAGCGAAAAAGCCACACAATATGCGTTATCAAGTCGCTGTCACTGACGTCAGGCTAGGCGGTCAAGGGTCGGATCTGTTGGGTGGTTAGGTGGTTTGGATAGTTGGGTCGGGTGGGGCAAACTCGAGCTGAAGATGTGTCGGAAATTTCACGTCAAGCGCACTGCCGCATGGCTATGATAGCACCAGAGTTGCTATATGAGACTAAAAGGCCATATACATACACATTTTTATATGTCACTGACATATAGCTACACACACACACACACACACACACACACACCCACACACCTGGGATAGTATTGCACATGGATGGGTAGCTCGCAACGAAATTGGACACTAGATGTGCTGACGGTCATTGGAGCCAGTGGACGTAGTCGAGTGCGTGGGCGATACTTTGGCTGCTGCTGTCTGTGGGGCAACTGGCGACGGTTGCCTGGCTGCTGTTTCTGCTGCCACATGGTGCTTTGTTGCAGCTGTAGGTCGCGATAATGATTGGCCACTTCATGCTGGTAGCGCTCGTCGCGAAAGCATTTCTTGTTGTAGATGCGTCGCATGCTTAGGCGAGGCTCATATTTACAGCCCACACGAAGCGGCAGACCCACAACACCCAAATCGGACATAGAACTACGAGTTATATGATATGTACTGTTACACTATATACACATATATAATCTATAGAGAATCGAGCGCGGGCTCAACCGTTTGGTCGCAGGCAACGACGCCAACTACAGACTTGACATTGATGGAACAACTAATCATAGCCTTAAGTTTCTAAGTCAAGCAGGAGTGGAGAGTGTTTTCGGGGGGTGGGGGGCTTGACGGTTGGTGGGGTCCCTTGAAATTATGTACAAACATTTGTCTATACATTGATTGGATACAAAACAAAAATCAGTATTTCCGTATGGCAACAATTTGCGGTTATTTGTTATCACGTCAGTTGGCAATGGGGCAATTGGGTTGGAGTAAGCCTCCATGTCAAGCCGGTCACAATGTCTTTGGGGTGTAATTGCTTGGCTACTTGATACTATGTAAACCTGTTATTAATATATATATATATGACAATCGTAGAAGTGGCTCATAAGCAAGGCAGGCCCTTCAATCGATATTTATCGAAAAGTGACAGCAAGTGACCTTAACATCTATAAAGAAACAACGTACGACTTGATTTCCAGTTGCTTCCATTTGGTTGAATACCAGTCGACGAGAGCTTAAACACTTTTCAAGAAAAATTTGAAAGCAATTTATGAAAGTTTTATATAAAGATTTGCTTATCGATAGTTATCGATCAATTTAAGATTTGCAGAAATCGTTACATCGTATCTTCTACATATATATCAAGTATATAGATATTCATCAGACTTGGCAATGTGTTGATCGACTCCTTGGATATACTTCACCAAAGTACTGGGTATACGAACAGTTGTTTAGGGCGTGCTCAGCCTGTGCTGTTGCCAATAGTCAAATTAGTCGTTTTCATGTCGTTAACTATTGTAACTGGTACATCCTCCAATCCCAATAGCTATAGACCCCAACCATTTCTGCGCCGATTTGCATGTTACGGGCGTCAGCAACAATAAGCCAAACAATGTTATTCAAATGCAAAACAAATATTGTCAACAAACACAACTGCTATACATAAAAAGCAAATTTAACGTTTAGGTAATTCTGCACTACCGTTGCGCTACTATGAATCGTTATGTAAGGCTCGATCTGCTATATATATATATATATTTACATGTTGTTTGTGTGGTATTCGAGAACTTTGAAGTGCGCGCACCCGGGCAGGCGTTTCAATCAATCGTTGGCCTCGACTTAATTGAGCCACCAGCTGATAACAAGCGAATGAAATTTCATTTGGAATTTCAAAATCGACTCTAATTAGAATTTAAAGACGATACTATACATATATGTATATAAATATGTATACCTATTTCCATACATATGTCGAATGGCGTTGGAAAGCGTGAGGTGCGTGTTACACTCGCTCTTCATTAGGGCCTTCAGTCAATATTTATATAAATATGAGTTTTGATAACTTTTTATAAATGATTATTTTGATAGTTTAATGCTCAAGCTTTTCTTTATTTATGTTTATCGTTGAGCTCACCTTAATAACTGTTAACAATTAACGTCAAGCAATTTATTGCTAGCTAACATTAATATTAACAGTCACAGCATTTTACTCGCATTAACAGCATTGCTTTAACAGTTCTCTGCTCACAGTCTAAAAATATTTCTTGTAGCTTAGTGCGTAAAGCTGTAAAGATGCAACTCAACAGCGCCTGTTGTAGCAAACCTAGCTAACAGACACGCTTTCTAAGCATTTAGCTGTTAACATTAAGAGCGTCACCAGAATACATATCTAAATTGAACGAAACTCTTATCATATTGTTTATCTGTTAACACTAGCAGTTAGATCAATTAGAGTTTTTGTACCTCTTGCATAAATGGAAAAATCATAACATCTGCACTTAATGTAACTCTTAACATTTCATTCTTACGTTAGCTAACATGTTAAACTTAACATATTTGACTTAACATTGAATGGTTGATTGGGATCGTAGGCACTTGAGGACATATCAAGCTAGATTACTGTAAATACGTATATGCTATATGGAATTGTAGGGCAACTAATGCGATTGAATGATTAATTTAGGATTTCGATGATGATATAAAAACATGCAATGCAAAAGGCTCCATAAACTCAAAGCTTGCCAGCTCGATGGCAATATATGTGTGTATGTATGTGTGTGGAAAATGAAGTGAACAATGTAGCCGCTGAATGTGGCAATGTGGCAGCGTGGCACGTTCTATTGTTGAACTGTCGTTTGCCAGTTTCGGTTTGGCGATTTGTTAATCAATCAGCAAAGAAATCATGCCTCCGGCTCGCTTCCCTCTATGGCCTGTCTCGAATCGACTGTGTTCTACTTTGTGGAAATTATATGACTAATTGCTGCAGACGAGCCATTAAAAACTGAAAGCAATTTGCGCTGCCCCTTAACGAGGCGACCGTGCAGCGGTGGAGCGGTTTTGAGGAGGGGGTTAGTTAAAAAAAGCAACAAGAAAAACCCCAAGCTCTTTGTACAAATCCGCCAAGAGGCGCTATGTGTGTATGTGTGTGCGTAGCTGTAACCATTTCGAGTAATTGCCATGTTTATTTGCTCGCACTGACAAGCGAAGTAGGTGGAGAGGAAGAAGAGAAGCCGCTAACCACATGCGTACATATACATGAGCATCCATATATACATACATACAAATACATATAGTTACCCATCTATGGTGGCGTATGTTGCGCCTCAATGTAGGCAACGGCCACTTAAATGTCTTAAAACTATGCACACAATTAAAACAACCGTTAAAAGCTGTCATCGTATGCAAGAAGCAGCAAGTATAGAGAGCAACAAGGAGACAAGATAGCCAGAAAGTGAATGCGTCCGAGAGTGAGCGAGCCAGAGCAAGTTTCGTCAAATGACACTGACAGCTAAGTGCATGTCAGTGTGTATGTGTGTTGAGTGTTTTTGTTGGTATTGGGCATGCATACGTGAGCTTCTCCCTTTCACTTACACACACACATATGACATTACATTATGAGCAAATACAATCACAATCAGGTTTTTGCTCTACTTTGACACAAAAGCCGTGTTTTAGTTGCTGTTTCTGTGTGACACACTTATTATGCCTTATCACCCAAACACACATATACAGACAGCCAGTGCGCAGTTAATACATATATACATATGTATGTATTAGTATTCTTTTTTTTTTTTTGCTTTGCACGGTCAATAAACTGCGGGCGCTACGCAGGAAACAAACACACATACGCACAAACAAAAACAACAATTAGGCGCACATAAATCCATCAACAGGAAACTGACAGAGGGCGCCTCAACTCGGTGTTGGACTTGACATAAATGAGCAATGATTGCAGCCGTTGAATAATTTATTCAAATGCATTTCAAATGCATAATTAGCAAAACAATTGAAAGCGTAACAATATATGTGCAAATGTATGTATGTGTTTAATAGCAAAACAAATAAGCGCAAATAAACCTTATTGATTGCTTACCAAGCAAATAAATGTACCGCTAATGTTAACCTCTTTTTGTCGTTGTTCAACACAACAGCTGGTCGTATCCGTGTGTATTTGTTTGTTTGTTTCAATGTGTGTGTGAGTTTGTACACACTCTCTCTCTACGTTTGGCAGTTAAAACTGTCACTTGCAATTAGCGCACAATTTCTTTTATATTTATCACTTTACGTTCACAGCCATGTTTAACTAACGACTGTCACGTAAATTTATGATTTTATTATTTGAAATATTTTTATTTAATTTTTTTTTGCATTGTATGTCTTCAGTTAAATGCGTTTCGTTTCGTTTGATTGCCACGCTTGATTGTTCCGTTTGGTTTTGTTATTTGATATTTTTTTATGCATCGCTGGAAATCGATACATTCCAGTTTATATGCAACTCGATAGACTTGCTTTAACAATGTGACAGCACATCACAATTTTGTAACGTTTGTCTACTGTGTTACCGCTATACAGGAAATGCAACATGCTGGTGCCCCAACGTGATTAAATAAGCATTAGAATATTGCGTAAAATGTGTGAAAATATTTTGTTACGTTAGTCATAATTAAGTTTAGCTGCGTTTGAGCTGTGAATTGAATGTAATATCTTGTTATGAATTTAAAATAGGATTTTTAAAAAGTGAGGTCGGAAACACTATCGGCACATTTCAGTAATCCCTTTTACGGCGCAACTATCGAAATATTGCGCAATTTTGAGCGACTGCGTTCGTCAAACCAGCAGTTCTCTGTGTGTCGCTCCTTTATTGTAGTTCATTCAATTGTCAACATTTTTGGTTCATTTGTACTGCTTATAGTTGTATGATGTTGATGATTATCAATGAACAATGAACCTTTGTTTTAAAGTAATTTATTATACAAAGTTTAAACATAATATAATACAATATGATATTGTTGTATATATCGATATACTTCGATAAATTATTTCACATAATTTGTAACTGTGGCAAAATTGAAGTTCCTAAGTGCGAACTAGTTCCGAGCGGCACTCTACAACACTGATGGTTTAGGAAGCCGCATTATATTTATTGTAGGCAATTTTGACATATTTCTATAAACGAAATATGACATATTGCAAATAATTCAATTTAATTTTACTGGGATAAAAATTGATTTAGTGTTTAGTGCTAACTGAAGCTAGCTGAAGAAGCAATACCAAAACGCCGGCATTTACAACAACAATTGCAATCGTCGCAATGACATCCGCAAGGGATTTAATAAAAATTGATATAGTAAGTAGTCAAATAAATTAATTGGAGTAGTTCAAACTAATAAAACAGCAACATCTACGCAGGAATGGGGCATGGAGCGATTGGTGCGCGCTCAGCAAGTCGTCGAGCTGCGCCCCTACGACATCGAATCGTGGTCCGTGATGCTCCGCGAGGCACAGACTCGGCCCATTCACGAAGTGCGCAGCCTTTACGAGTCCCTGGTGAATGTGTTTCCCACTACAGCGCGTTACTGGAAGCTCTATATTGAAATGGAGATGCGCAGCCGATACTACGAGCGAGTGGAGAAGCTCTTCCAACGCTGTCTGGTCAAAATTCTCAATATAGATCTATGGAAACTCTACCTGACCTACGTCAAGGAGACCAAAGCGGGTCTTAGTACCCACAAGTAAGTTCCAAAACTTTTCTATTTATTATATCAACAATAAATATTTATTTTCCTTCTTCGCAGAGAAAAGATGGCGCAGGCATATGATTTTGCCTTGGAAAAGATTGGCATGGATTTGCATTCGTTTAGCATTTGGCAGGATTATATTTATTTCTTGCGTGGCGTCGAAGCTGTGGGAAACTATGCAGAGAATCAAAAGATCACAGCTGTGCGGCGTGTCTATCAAAAGGCGGTGGTTACGCCCATTGTGGGTATTGAGCAGCTATGGAAAGATTATATTGCATTTGAGCAGAATATCAATCCGATTATATCAGAGAAAATGAGCCTGGAACGTTCGAAGTGCGTTGTTAGCTTTACAAATGTTTGCTTCATAACCTTAATGCTCGAACTATATCTCCTTTAGGGACTATATGAACGCACGTCGTGTGGCGAAGGAGTTGGAATATCATACGAAAGGGCTCAATCGCAATCTGCCTGCTGTGCCGCCAACACTGACCAAAGAAGAGACTAAACAGGTGGAGCTGTGGAAACGTTTCATTACCTATGAGAAGTCAAATCCTTTGCGCACAGAGGACACGGCGCTCGTCACTCGACGCGTTATGTTTGCCACAGAGCAATGTCTGCTGGTGTTGACGCATCATCCGGCTGTTTGGCATCAGGCATCGCAGTTCCTGGACACCAGTGCACGCGCTCTCACCGAGAAAGGCGTGCGTAGTCGTATATTCAACACAAGAATCAACAAATGCCGCAATTTGTTGCAAATGTTGCAAATAGAAACGAAGCAAAAAATCAAAATTCTGTCTCTTTGTTGCCTCTCTGTGAAGTGTCGCCCCTTGGGTAAAGCGGCACGTGGCATACGAAATACAATTTTTTTTTCGTACTCCATTGGACACTTGCCGCTTTGCCCTTGGCTTTGGCCGCACGCGTTTTACTCAGCCCGACCCGACCAAACATATAAAAATATATCTCAAAATATACCACTATATATATAAATCAATTTATATTCATCTCTAACATTCTTTCATGCAGGATGTGCAAGCAGCTAAGATCTTTGCAGACGAATGCGCCAATATTCTGGAACGATCCATCAATGGCGTTCTCAATCGCAATGCTCTCCTCTATTTTGCTTACGCGGACTTCGAGGAGGGCCGACTAAAGTACGAGAAGGTTCACAGCATGTACAACAAGCTGCTCACCCTGCCAGACATCGATCCCACGCTGGTAAGGCAATATAAATCGATATGATTGTTGCGCTTAGCTAACGATGTTCATAGGCTTTTGCTATTGTTCATATCTCTGGTATGAGACTCAAAACTGAGGCTTTTCGTTTGTTAAAACTTGAGAGAAATTGTATTGCTTTAATGATTTACCATGTTCGTGCTTAAGCTTTGTATATAGTTAAAAACCTAGCATATAGCCTCTATTTACTCTATGTAAGCCACTGTCTATTGTTATATATCTGAGAATACGTTTCAAATTCTTTAAGGTGACCTATTTAGATATATGAAATCATTATATAATCATAGCAGGAGGTCTTATATGTGGTGTATATGAAGTTGTCTTTTTTGAATCGTGATATTTAGAATATAAGTTAGATATCATGTTTATACATAGTAAAGGTCATAAAGGTTTTGGTATATTTGATCTAGTCTTCACTTCACAATGTATCATAAGCATATTTGTATAATCATGCCAAAGCCCTTGCCTTATATTTAATTTATATATGATATATATACAATTCTCTGTATACCCTAGGTTTATGTGCAGTACATGAAGTTCGCTCGTCGCGCGGAGGGCATCAAATCGGCGCGAGGCATCTTTAAGAAGGCACGCGAAGATGTTCGCTCGCGCTATCATATATTTGTGGCGGCCGCATTAATGGAGTACTACTGTTCCAAGGACAAGGAGATAGCATTCCGCATATTCGAGCTGGGCTTGAAACGCTTCGGCGGCAGCCCCGAGTACGTGATGTGCTATATCGACTACCTCTCCCATTTGAACGAGGACAACAATACGCGTGTGCTCTTCGAGCGTGTTCTGAGCTCCGGTGGCCTGTCGCCCCATAAGAGTGTGGAAGTCTGGAATCGGTTTCTCGAATTCGAGTCGAACATCGGCGATCTGTCCAGCATTGTCAAAGTGGAGCGAAGACGCAGCGCGGTCTTTGAAAATGTGAGCCAAGCTATGATTACTCTAAAATAATTATAATTAATTATTCCTTTTTGATCCTTTGACAGCTGAAAGAGTATGAAGGCAAGGAAACGGCACAGCTGGTGGATCGCTACAAGTTCCTAGATCTATATCCTTGCACCAGCACCGAGCTCAAGTCCATTGGCTACGCCGAGGTAAAGCTGCAATCATTATTCTTCCATTTGCTCACAAATTTAACAAATTTCGCTCAACTTTATAGAACGTCGGCATCATTTTGAATAAGGTGGGCTCTAATGCTGCCTCTGCCGGCGGTGCAAATAGTCACAACAATAACAATGAGTCGGAGGCAGATGGCGAGGCGACACAGCCCCTGCCACGGCCAGACTTCTCACAGATGATACCATTCAAGCCGCGATCTTGCGCTCATCCAGGTGCACATCCACTGGCCGGCGGCGTCTTTCCACAGCCGCCAGCGTTGGCTGCGCTCTGTGCCGCACTGCCTCCGCCGAACAGTTTTCGGGGTCCCTTTGTCAGTGTGGAGCTGCTCTTCGACATCTTTATGCGACTCAATTTGCCGGAATGTAAGTGTGAAGAAGTGTTCTTGGCCAGTTATCTAAGCAGCTGATCATATTTATCTCTTTTGCAGCTGCTCCACAACCAAATGGCGACAACGATTTAACGCCCAAAATCTTTGATCTGGCCAAATCGGTGCACTGGATCGTGGACACCAGCACGTACACGGGAGTGCAGCACAGTGTGACGGCGATGCCGCCGCGTCGACGTCGCCTGCTTCCTGGCGGCGACGATAGCGACGATGAGCTGCAGACATCGGTGCCGCCTACGAACGATATTTATCGATTGCGCCAACTAAAGCGATTCGCCAAGTCCAATTGAACCAAAGGACAGCAATTCCGTTCTTTATTTTATTTTGTTCTTTTCAATATTCCATTCACTTTCGAAATAATAATGTCAAGAAAATATCCCCAATTGCGATTTGCGTATAGATATAGTCCTAATACATCTATCGATATTTTCGCTCCCGTTTTTGTCGTAATATTAAAGTTTGTCTTAGGAAAGTTTTTGTTGACATTTCTTAGATTTTGAAAACTAAGCAAAGAAATTTTTTGTAGCCAGTGAAACGCTTAGGAATATATATAATTTTTGTATAAGATTTGAATCTAAAAGAATTAGGCCATCTTCTTTTGCTAAGATGTTTATGAAGTCGACAAGGAATTGTGCGTATGACAGTAAAACGTTTAAGTGGCGTTTCGCTGTCATCCTTTCCCGCTCGAACTATTCATTTTCCCTCTTCCTTGCATTCGTAAAAAATAACATAATTATAACTGAATTTAAATAAGCCTTGCTTTTAATGGATATTCAAAGGCAGGTGAAGTGAATATGAATGTGATGTAGGGAATGTGAGTGAGTGTTTCGGCATTCGTGAATGAATCACATGAACTAAATGAGCAATTAACAGGTACTACAACTAAAAACAAACAAACAATTTGCTAGTTACAACTAAAATGTGGTTGGAATGAGTGTGAATATGAATGTTTAGCTAGTAAGTGATTCACTTCTGGTCTGTATGCATGAATGAATGTATGAATATTCATTGATTCTGATCAGCTTAGCTGCTTGAATATGAATATGAATTTAATTGGATGAATGCTCAATGATTCAGTTCTAATGTTTATATAGGCTCGCATACTAAATGAGTATGAATATGAATGAATGATTGAATGAGTACTCAATGATATTCACTTGACATCATCTCAGCTAGACTTAAAGCGCTCTGAGTGCTTGTAGAGGCTCGTGTACTAAGTGAATGAGTGAGTGTGCATATGAATGTGATTGAATAAGTATTCAATGATTCACTTATCATCATCTAAGCTAGACTATGAGTCCTGTTATTCATTCTTATTCAGACTCATTGATTTGTTCAGCATTCACTGAGTCTGAATATGAATGTGAATGATTGAGCCTTCGATAATTCATTTCTCCTCCGCCCCGCCCACCTTACAGCGCTTGCGATGCTTGTAGAGTCCTGCGTATTGGGCAAATCTCTGTCCGCAGCCGGCACAGCTGTAGCGCTTCTCGCCCCGATGCAGATTCAAGTGGGCGTAGTAGGCGCTGCCCACAACAAAGGCACGCCCACAATATGGACAGACCTTGTCCCGAATGTTGAGATGGGCGCGCAGATGGCGATCCCGTTCGTGGGCCGTATAGAAAGCCTTGTCGCAGCGACTGCAGGGATAGTCCCGCTTCTCCGTGTGCCGTTTGACATGCTGATTCAATTTGCTGGCATTCACAAAGCCGCGGGCACAATGCTCACACACATAGGGCAGCTCCTTGGTGTGGCTGCGCTGATGCACTCGCAGCGAGGTGGAGTTGAAGAACTTCTTGGGGCACTCGCTGCAGCAGTGCGTGCGCTGGCCCAGATGCCGTCGCAGGTGAGCCTGCAGGCTGCTGCGCAGCGAGAACTTCATGGCGCAGATATGACAGATGTGCTCGAGCGGATTGGCGACGGCTGAGCCGGCGGAGCATTTGCTGCGACGTCGCTGACGCAGCTGCTCCGGCTGCAGTTGCTCCACGTGGACGTTGTGCTGATGTCGCAAATAGTCGCTGCGCCGCTTGAAGCTCGCCGAGCACTGGTCGCAGCCAAAGGGCGAGACATGCAGCTCCAGGAACTGCAGTGGAGCATAGTACTCGTAGCTGGGCAGCCAAGATTCGCCACGCTTCAGTGCCTCCTGCCTGGCCTCCTTGCACTGTCTATACTGGCAACGGAACTCAATGAGGCGACTCTTCAAACGTTCCACGGTTATTTGCAGATTGCATTCCTCCTGGAGTCGCGTGCATAAAGATTCCAGATGCCTCAAGCGCTGCTTCCGCTTCGTGTAATCCGGATGGGTGGTGCACCACAGTTGCTCGTAGCTCTGATAGACCTGTATGATCTTCAGATTGCTATCGCGCTGCTGCAACGATTTCTGGAGCACACGATTGATGGGCACCACATCGTCCAGAAAGCCGAATGCCTCATAGAAGCCCCAGCGGGTGCCGGCGCCCTCGCCCTCCACAGCCAAAGCCTCGCGCTGCCGCTCTCGCCTATAGTACTTGATGTAGTCCGTGAGCTTGCGATGCAACATTTGCCAGCTAAAGCGTCTTGCTCCAGCTCCAGCTCCAGCTTCCGTTCCAGCGCCTCCGGCAACGGCATTCAATTGAGCCGCAATGCTATGCCAGGCCTGGCGCCGCAGCTTCCTTGTGTGATAGTCCAGATGATTGGGATCCCAGAGATTGGGATGCTGGCGATAGAGTTCGATGAGCTTGTGCGTCAGCTCCAGGCTGAGACGCATGCGCAGCTGCAACGACGTCGAAGTGGGGCTCTCCTCGGAGGAAGTCTCTGTCAGCTCCTCTCTAACATAGTCGGGCTGGAGTACAGCAGCAGCTAGGCTAGGCACGCTTAGCTCCTCCAAAGGGGGCTCCGCTGGCAGCACTTGCTCCACTAATTCCAATTGCTCCTGTCCTCTATCTTTGTCCAAATCCTGCTTTCGCTCCTGCTCCGTTTCCAGCTGCGTCTCCTTTAGCGCCTGCTCCTCACAGCTGCCCTGCACATGCGCCTGATGACTCACCAGATTCTCAAAGATCTTGCCACAGGCCGCACAGACATATGGATCGATATGCTTGTGGAGAAATTCCATTTCCGCATAGTGCTCAAAGCTGGATACGAACTCCGCCTGCTTGCCCTCGACGATGCTATGCAGATATCTGATCTTCTCCAGTCGGTAACGCTTGCGCAGCGACAGAAGACGTCGCTGCATGGCCATCCCAGAAAGCCGCACTCCACACATTCGCAACGCCAGCTGCAGTCCACGGTGTGCCTCGTGCCGCTTCCGCACGGTCTCCGTGCAGCGCAGCCTCTTGTGGGCATTGTGCCACAGGATGGGATAGTGCTCATAGATCTCCAGCAGCTTGCGGTTCTCGTGCGCAATGTGCTCCTGGCGATTGAGCAGCGACTGCTGCTCGCATAGGAAGCGCAGCTGATCGTAGTGCACGAACTTGGCGCAGTCCTCCAGCTCGCCCTCGGCGGCCAAGCGTTCGCGCTGCTTGAGGAAACGCTGGCACAGCGTCGATATACGTATGCGTACGTCCGTTACAGTGAAGCCTCGGCCACAATGGGCGCTCCATGCTTCGGTTATTTGATGCCACGACTCCCTGCCGCGATCCACGTCACGAAACTCGGGATGCGATTGATCCCAGAGGCGTGGATGCGATTGATAGAGCTCGATCAGCTGCTTCACATGCTGGCTCGTCAGCTTCGGTGGCTCCCCTATAGGCAGACCGGCCTGCTAGAGAGAGAGAGAGAGAGAGAGGGTTGTTAGTAGAGCGAGGTTAGACGCTGCTCTAAGAATAAAGAGTTTGACCTATATACGTCTGAACCGGTTTTTAAGTAAGCAAACCGAACCAAACAAATGTTGCCGCTGCTTTCCGGTTCGATTCAGTGGGTTGATTTAGCCTGAAATCCCGTCTAAGATTCAGTTCAAGTAACAAATCTCAGCCAAGCCAATAAAGTTTTCTAGGCTTCAGCTTGGCTTAACTTGGCTTAGCTTGGCTTTCAGCGCGTCTGTTTTATAGTCAACAGGTTTCGATTAATGTTGAAAGATTTCATTGAAGTCTAATGAAGAAATTCTATAAAATTCCCTGCTTGTTTACTTACGGTATTTTAATGGTCTTAGATGGATAGATAGCTCAGCGCAGGTATTTGCTTTTTTTAATCAGTTTCTTGGAATTTCGCTTGCGTTGAGTTGATCTAAATGCGGCTTAGCTTTTTGAAAATATTTAAATTCTTGATTTTGTTGTTGTTATTTTTTTCTCAGCTATACAGTTTTTTTAATTATTGTTTGATTTACTATGTACTGGCGAGGTCTGCTCAAAAAGTTACGCAAGGTTTTCATAAGTATGTCAAGTAATCTATCTCACAATTTATTTTAATAATGGGAGATACTGAGATATTCTAATAATGGGAGATAATGGGAGATAGAAGAGGACATGAACAGAATTTCAGGAATAAATAAAAAATGTTGTAAAAAACTAGGAAAATGATATATAATAAAAATAAAAAAAATTAAAATAATAAAAATAATAATAGTAATAGTAATAATAATAATAATAATAATAATAATAATAATAATAATCATAATAATAATAATAATAATAATTATAATAATAATAATAATAATAATATTTAATTCCTTATTTGTGACAATTTAGAATCTATCTGCAGGCATATTTTGGTATTTTTTTGCTAAATAACAAAACATTTATTTATACACGTATACCCTATATATATATATATATATATATATATATATATATATATAGTATATCAAATGTCATCTTATCAAGAACTTGTAGGTTTTCCATTCGTTAGACTTTTCAAAATATTTATATTGATATTATTAGCTTGTTAACTGATTCATGATATACGTAAGTATGTATGTATACAGATGTATATATATATATATATGTGCATATATCACTTGCAACCTCTACTCACATTCGCATCGAATTTGCTTTGGTCGATCAGCTGTTGCTGGGTCTGCTGTGCGGTGTCCAGTGCGTTGAGCTCTTGGACCAGTTGCTGCTTGAGTTCGTTGACCTCCTCGCCGCCGCTTGACTGCTCGGCCAAGACCTCCAGCATGAGCTCGTCAACGGGCGCCTGTTGCCAGTCGGAGTGCCACAGCTCCATATGCTCGGCGAACTCGTCCAGGGCACAGAGTGGTCGCTCCTCGCACAGCTCGCACTCGATGCCATAGAGCTCACCGGCGCAGTTCCAGGTGTAAACTGTGCCGCATCTTTGGCGCGGCTCCTCGACTGCAGCGGCAGCTGCAACAGCAACTGATGGTGTCATCGGTTGCTGGCCCCAATTGCTATTGTTATTGCTATTATATATGTTGTTCTAATTGTTGTTGGCCAACTAATTTTACTGTCACTTTTTAAGCCAGCTTGCGATTCGGCGCACTTGTTGCTTAACGTTTGCGACTGCGCAGCTTCTTCGCCTCTGACTATGTGAAAAATGACAACAGCCAAAGAGCCAAAGAGCCAAAGAGCTAAAGAGCTAAAGACTCGGGCCAACAAACCCGTTGCGGGCCATCTCGCGCACACATACACACACACACGTGGCCAGCGTCGTACATGCCATTCTTTGTCGCTGGGGCAACAATATATGTATTCACACATACACGTTTTCACTCACACACACACAAACACATATCTAAGACAAAATAACAAACTTGGCTTTTGGTTTTGGTTCGCTTTGCTTTGCTTGTTGCCTGCCTGCTTTGCTTTGCGTTTTCTCTTTGCAAGTGCCGCTTGTCTGCTTGTGCGTGTGTGTATGTGTAAGTGCGCTCGGGCAACAGGTAAATGTAAACGGGCAGGCATTCACGTAACTGCCCGACTGGCAAATACCCTGTCTGTCAGCTGACATATTTATATATTGTAAGATCCGTATAAGCTAGATCCCAAAGACGTTATACACCATTTGCTTAGCTCTTATAGTTTGTCAGAATATCGATATATCGATATATATAGATTCTTGAGAAGCTAGCTATTAGCACTAGAATATCAAAAAATAAATATGTTTTTGTATCATAAATTATATTTGTGACAAACATTATAGTATACGATATACCCTGTTCCACACATGTTTACGGTAGCTACAGGGTATTTGAAAAAAATGTAAACATGACAACGCAACAGCTGAGAGGCAGAGTCTAAACAATTGAAGCCACTTTGCGGCTGCGCGCATTGCTCACACACATATTAGTGTGTGGGTGAGTAAATGTATATTAATTTATATGTGTGTGCCTTGGGAACCGGAGCAGCAATTTACATTTACATATATTAACAAGCCCCATGGTTGCTGGCCAATTGTTTGTTAGCTAAGCGCGATTCGTACTTCTTTCTCTTCGCTAACTTCTTGTGTGTTTCATTCTAAAATATCATTGCAATGAGAGAATGGGGGTGTGTGAGCCAGGGCTGGCAAGCTCTGACAGCGCAATATTTTTTGTGTTGCTATGAATACATATATACCAATCTTTATAAAATCCATGTTAATTAGCGTTAAGAAAGAACCAATAGCTTAAAAGCAAAAAAGAAAGGTAGCAGTTAAAACAACTAAAAAATGCCCAATCTTCGTACAAAAGGACAGTGTCAAGCCCTGGTCATTCACAATGAGGACACTTCAAATAAGAATGGGCACGCACACACATATGCATTCCATGTGTGAATGTGCGCAAGAAGCAATAGTAACCGGTAGACTTAACGAAACTCTTAACATTCTTCGGCGCTCTCACCCGCTCTCTCTCTCGCTCTCTCTCTTTTGATCAAACAGATGCAGATCCAATTGCAAGATGTACACATGTATGTGTGAGTACACTTAACGAAACACATAACATTCTAGACTGCTCTCACTCTTTCTCTCTGTCTCCGTCTCTGTTTATGCTCAACCAGTTACACTCCCAGTTGTAACAATTTGTCGTCACGATCGCAACGAGTGAGCTAGGTATGAGAAAGTTGTGCGCTTTAGAAGTGATACGCGCTTTTCCATGCGAAATCAATATTTAGTTTGTAAATAATAAAACCAGTTATTAATGCATTTGGGATCCAAATAAGGTCTATGAATTCGCATTGGTGTCGTCGCGTTACTATAATTATATTTATTATTTTTTTTTGCCACTGGGGAGCGGTTCCATTGAGCGCCAAAAACCAGACCTCGAGACAAATTGCATGAAAATGGAAAATGTGCGCGCGTGCAATGGCAATAAAATGCTTTGGGGGCCAAACTGTGCGGAAAAACTGCAACAGGGCAAAACAATATAAAAAAAAAAAAACGATGGAAAAATAATGACAAGAAAATAAGATCGCATCAAGTCGAATCCTGCATGCTCTTTGTGCTCTATTAGTTAAGATAAACTCGAAGAAGTTTTATTGCCTATTTAAAATTGATAGTTTTCGCTAAGTAAACTAGACTAGTTATTTATGTAATTTTAACTTCTATTTATATAGAATGTAGTTTGCACCTAATTTTCGATAGGGTATATTTCTTTGATAATGCAAGTACACTGAGAGAAAAATGTATGCTAAAAAAAGCTTAGCATATTACTTCAGAAATAGCTTAATATTTTAATATATATTATATCTTAATTTTCACAATTTAAATTTTAAAATATTTTTTTTCAATCGAATTCTTAAACATATTTTAAGCTTACTTTTTTTAGATTGTCTAAACTTTCACTAATTTTATATATATTTATACATATTTTTACGTTTGACTTTTTTCTCCCAGTGTAGCGGCTGAAGCGAAGTTTAAGGGAATATTCAGTGTAAGCGCAAGATAAACACGACCCAAGGGAGCTTTGGTTGCAACTTTCGCGCTGTCAACTGATTGTGTGTGTGTTTGTATGTGTGTGTGTTTGTATGTGTGTATGTGTAAATAAACAAAACGCATGTGGCAAACGTACACACACACAGACACATACACACATTAGCCGTTGGCCATGTTTAAAAGCATGAAACATGGCACTGCAGCTGGCCTTGCCCAACACACACACACACAGGCACACACATACACGCACATGCTACGCACACTTGCAAACACAGCTGGCAGACACGTTGACTTTCCGCCATATTCACAGAAAAAGTTGATCCTTTGGAAAAGCGTGTGCCCAAAAAGTGCCTGCCCCACGTAACTGTACCCAGTGGGTTTACCATATGACGTCATGTGTCCCCATCAGAAACTATAATTCCGGTAAATAAAACGGAAAACGCAAACAAAAGCCAACAAAATGATGAAGTGCAAGCAAAATATTACAAAAAAAACAGTAAAAATATATGTGTTTATATATATATATATATATCATATAACATATATGCATACATACATATACATATACATATATCACGTATAAACAAATTGTTTATGAAGTAAAACCGCAGTGAAAAAAAAACAGCAGAAGAAGAAAAATAATACAGCAACAGGAAGAGAACGTGTGGGCGTTGGGCGTGGCCAGCTGAAAAGTCTGTAACGCTTCTAGAACTATTTATATATGTACAAGTTAACACATAACATTTAATATAGGGTATTTCATAAGTTTATAACCAACCCTCGCTATCGCGTGTTTCGTAAGTTAAGAAACAGCCCTCGCAATTGCGACACTGCATACTTTGTATCAGCGCGCTATAACTGCAATGGTCAGCGGCGGTAACCAGATACTTTTGTTTACTGCAAGAGTTTCCGTTATTGCCTAAGATTGCTGAGTCGGCTTGCCGACCATGACATTGTGGTGTGATGCGAGTTTTGGCTTAGCTTAAGTGAAATATTCTATGTAGCTAAAAATCAGTTTTGCATTGAAGTTTGAAGAATAAACCCGCACTACTCCGGCACACCGCCGTAATCAAATTGTTATATTTCTGATCATTGCTGAGCCACAAGGCCAGTTAATAGAAAAGGGGGTGAAGTCAAACCCTCCAACATAATCATCATAAGAAGATTATAATTACCCGATCAACGCTGGACCTGCCACCGACGCCTAGCTCATAGCTGGACCAGCAACTTATTGATTAAGACTATAAATACCCGATCAACGCTGGACCTGCCACCGACGCCTAGTTCATCGCTGGACCAGCAACATATTAATTGGCGCCCAACGTAAAAAAAAAAAAAAAAAAAAAAAAAAAAAAAAATTTTTTTTTTTTTTTTGGAATTTAAATCATATTAAACAAGCTTGCAGAAAAATTACGATTTATCCTGTCATTCACAAGAATTTCATATTGCGATTGCCTGACAACGTCATAGCCGAATGCGATGGAAAAACCCACACACTG